CAAAAGAAGCTATCATATGCTATTTTAACACTTTCTTCTTCTAAATATATATAATCATATTTAACAATTATCCAAAAGATACTATCATGTGCTAATTCACACGTAGCAAACTTTCTTCTTGTCCAACCTTTGTTTAATTTAATCCTCAGTTTGTCTCACTATGTCTATATACTATGGTGTTTCAATTAGGGGCGTATAAATCAAATCGAATCGATAAATCAAATTAAATAAAAAAAAGAAGTTGACTTATAATTTGGTTTGGTTGATTTGACAGTTGAAAAAAAACTCGATTACTCTTGATTTGGTTTGGTATTAAAAGAAAAAAAAGTCAAATCGAACCCAAACCAAACCGATATATATATATATATATATATATATATATATATATATATATAATTTTAATTTATTTATAGATAAAAAATATTATTTATAATCTACTTTGTTGATGTATTTTTATTTAGTTTATAGTTTTCAATGTTTAAATATTTTATTTCAAATTTGGGCTTGTAAAATTTTGTAATATATATATATATATAATTTTATTTTATTTATAGATTAAAAATATTATTTATAATCTACTTTGTTAATATATTTTTAATTAGTTTATAGTTTTCAATGTTTATATATTTTATTTCAAATTTGGGCTTGTAAAATTTGTAAATATTTTATTTTGTATTAAGATCCAAAGTTACAATTATATTGTTATAGTTTATCAAATTCGAAGTTAACAATTTACTTTGTATATATTTTGTTTTGTATTTAGTTTGTCTCTAGCCTTTAATCTTATTAATTTAACATAATGAATTGAACGTTGATATTTCAAAAAAAATATTTTGTACTCAAGTGAACTTTACCGTCTTTTTGAAAATTTCTATTCATTTAACATTTTTTAAGTTTAGCTTATCACACAGGTAAGTAAAATATATTTGATCTCTTTTTCAAATACCGTATAGTTGTAAAAAATCGAAAAACAAAAAAAACCCGACTAAAAATGAAATCGAAAAACTCGACTTTATGTGGTTTGATTTGATTTTTAGATTTAATAAACAGACATAATTGGTTTAGATTTTTTTAAATGAAAAATCAAATCAAACCGACCTATGTATACCCTTAATTTCAATTATGAATTTTAGAATATAATATTATTTTTTACCATCTAGAAAATGATATTCGTATTGACACACGGATTAATATGGAATTAATCGTATCGCCAAATACTTACTCGGGAAGAAAATATTTTCTATTTAATATTCTAAAAACTCAACCACAAAAAAATCTGAAAAGATCTTATTCTATATTTCGCTGTTACTCTTGGTGGTTAGTATATTATTCAATCCTAGAGGGAAATGTTAGAGTAGTAAATAATAAGTTAATTGGATTAAATTAATGAATTCAAATTCTTGAGAATGGCTTAAAATGAAATGATATCAAACATTTATAAAATATTACCGATAAAGATTTCCATCAACACATGGTTAATATTTTTTGGTTAAATATGTTATTCTGAAAAGGTTAGAGATGAACCAACATGGTCATTTCTAGAGAAACCAATAATGAAATTAAAAGGTGGACCAGAATGATAGATCTTCCCAATGATTCACCTTATGACTTTATCCATCACCAATCATCATTACGTGTTTCCTAATCTATTCTACCACCACATGCTTTTGCACCCTTGACCTTTTCCCCCCTCTCTAATTCTTTCAACTTTCTATTTTTCTTTCTGGAAAAATTTATTTCATAAAATCAAAAGTTGAAACATTAATTAAACGCACAGTTTTCTGTTCTCTGCTATTAGTAGGTGGTTGATTTCTAAACGGTTTTGAAAATTAAAGCAAAGGATGGTCAATATTATTATTGAAACCAACACCTAATATTGATTGAAAAGCGCTAAATAGTCAGAAAATTTGACCAAAAAAATAAAAGAACTATAATTTTTTTTAATTTTAAAACAAACTGATCATTTTTCATTGTTTAGTTAAAATATATTAAAGTTAAAAAGATAAAAATATTTAAAAACATAAAATATCATTTTGACCAAAAAAAAAAATTTCATACTAATATTGGAATAGGGGTTTGATTTCTATGTGAGCAATCACTCCCGAGACACTTGGCTAAAGACTCTCTTTATATAATGCAATATTACACAGTAATACCTGTCAATCTTAGAAATAAATGATGTCCATTAAAATATATATTTATATAGGAAAAAATCTTTTTCCCCAGAAAATTTGGTCACAATTATATTTTATCTATGTTATTTTACTTTTTATAATATATTTACCCTTTTAACTTTAATATCTTTTAACTAAAAAATGAAAAAAGATTAGTTTATTTTAAAATAAAAAAAATATTATAATTTTTAAAAAATTTTGGCCAAATTTTCTCGCTATTTAGCATTAATATATATTATAATTTAATTATGCTATTTAAAATGTCTCTTCAAAATTGAATATTATTAAGAAAATATAATAAGTATAAGAACAATTATTATTAAACGAAAAAAATATTATTATTTAATTTTCAATACTAAAAATAAACTGACAATGTAATTTTATTGTTTAATCACTTCAAGAATTTACGTGTCCTACGCAGAAATGGGGGGTCTTGAGATTTTGGGAGTAAGTGATGGTTGGAAAAGACACATCAAAGAGTAGTCCACCTGAATGATACTCATGCAAGTCTCGTTCCTCATAATTAATGAGTTATTGTTAGAAACTTGGTCCAATCAGCGTGCATTTCACGTGATCTATGACCCACTCCACCCCTTAATCTTAGGGCACCTCACATCTGCCACCACTTTTGCACATTATTACTAATTCATGAATCAAATATTACGTCGAAATGACTCTACAATAAACAAACAGAATTATAATTCGAATGTTAATATTATCGCATCTTTGAATTTTCAGGTTATTTAAATCATATTCCTACTTTCATTATGCTACGATGAACTTTTATACCTCGTCAAGTCTCTCAGGCATCGCCGTTCACTCATCCAATAAGTTTTTTCAATTATTTAAATTCAAACTAGATTAATATTATTAATATTTTTTAATATATTAATATGAGAAAAATTGTAATTTATAATACTTATTACTTTATAGTTTTTAAATATTTTAATTTTAATTTTAAAATATTAAATTAATCTAATTTAATTTAATTTAAAAAATTACTTAAATTGATATTTAAAAAGCAAAAAAACCACATAGATTGAGATAAAAAAAAGTTATTGATGATTTTATTTACTTTCTCCCTCTCAATTTTTCTGTCATGATTCTCTTTTATATGTTTCTTCATAAATATTAATTAAAAGGAGGATTTACCTATTTTATTATTCATTGATATTTGAATATTCATAACATTATCTCATAATTGAGGCATTTATAATTTTCAAGAGCAGTAACTACTCTTTCCGTTTTGAAATAATTGGTGTTTTTGTCTTAGACACAACCCTTAAGAAAATTACTTAAACTTCAGGAAAATAAGAAATGTTATTAGTTATATTCCCTATGTTCATCTTTACTCGTTCACTATACTAAAAAAAGTTGTCTAACAATACTTATCCAAATTGAAAAATTAAAAGATAATTTATCTTTTTTCTATTTGTTTTACTTTGCTATTAAATACTATTCAATAACTAATTATTCATAATTATGTGAATGTTATTTTTTAAAAAAAATATTATTTATTTTGAAATGGAGATAATATTTATAAGGATAGAATGAAAACAAAAAAAAGAAGAGAAGCTTTACACATTTCAAATAATAAATATTTTAAGATAACAAACGAATTGAAATGAATAAAGTGAATGATTAATTATTTGGGCATTCGTTTCTTTATGTACACGCCTCTTGCAGGCAGGCAGTGCCCCCCCTCTCCTTTATTCATGTATACACTTTCTCTATCAATTAACTAACAAAACTAGAGACAAATACACGTGACCTCACCCCCACCTACATACCAACCTTTTTTATTTATTTCTCTTTCCCTATATTACACATCATCTCATCATCATTAAACACCTCCAACTGAATTATCATTATCTTTCTCTTTTTGTTTGCTAAAAGATCTACTTCTTCTCCAGTTTGAATTTGTTAATCCTACTTTAATTAAATATAAAATTTAAAAATTATAAAAAAAATACTTCTAAAATGAACTAAAAAAAAATTAGATTAATAAATTGAAACGAAAAAGTACTATATATACTTTTAACTATTCTTTCCTCTAATTTTTTTTCAACTCTATTCATGATGGATAATGCTTCAAGCATGCACCTGTCTAATCATTTATTATAACCAAGTGGCGCAAAACAATAATATTCATGTACTCACTTTTTAATTTTTTTAAAAATACATTATCATCTTCATCTTCTCTTATCCAGAATTTTTCGGTCCATCCAGATTTAATTCCTTTATGATAATTGTATACGAATCAATATAATTCACAAAAATCGTTTGGCGATAATAATACCCGAATCATCTTCTTACACTTTCTTTTTTTCATTTTTTTTGGGGGGGCCTTTTTGCCTTTTGGGAGCTCTCCTTTGCTCAAATCATGAGAGTCCAATAATTGAGAAGATTACGGAGACACAATACTCCCTCCGTCTCATTTTATATCACATTTTTACTTTACACTTGTATTAAGAAATTGTATAACTTTACCCTTCTACCTTTATTTAATTTTTTTGAAACTCAAGTTTTCAATCAATGAATATGAATTAATTTAACTAATGAACATGAATCATTCACTTTAACTTATCTAAGTTGGTTAAATGTATGTTTTCAATGCTAATAACTCACAAGGGTAAAAAAGGAAGAATATGCTAATTTATGCATTCATTTTATGAAATGACAAATATTATTGATCAACTATTTATAGAAAGGAATACAAGGGAGTAAAAAGGGAAAAAAAATGTAGATGACGAATTAAATAGAAAACGACGAAAGTAAGTAAACGAAGATCAATAGATTGTACTATATATAAATAATAATAATAATAATAATAATAATTCATCCATATGTATATATTTGCTTAATGATTTACAGACTTATAATATGGACCATAAGAAAGAAAACAAATTAAAAATATTGATTAGTGACCTTAATTCTATTTACTCTACACATACAACTGCACTAGTCATACAAGCCCTAACCAAAAAAAGTGGCGGCTTTCCGAGATTTTTTCTAAACAAGATTTATATTACTAATATATATGGCCTTTAATTAACAAGCTGCCGACGGATTGTTGAATGGACTGTAGAAGTGAGGCTTTTGAGCAATGGTAAAAGCATTTTTCGACGGATTTTCTCCGACACCGCCGCCGATCCTTTCGCATGAAGGACACATGGTTAAGGTTGCCGCCGGCAACTGCATGTACAAAGGTTGTGCTATTTTTAGAGCCTTTAGTTCCTGCAATTCCTTGTGAAGTCTCCTGTTTTCTTCTGTCAGTGTCTCGCAGCATTTTTTCAGGAATTCACAGTCTACCTCTGTTTGCTTCAGTTTTGTTCTGTAACCAAAAAAAAAAAAAAAAAAACACGATCCCATCAATTTTATGTTCACTTATTTTCTCAAAATTGCAAAAAAACAATAATGAAGATTATCATTAGTGATTAGTTCTACCTGGCTCTTCTGTTCTGGAACCAAACTTCAACTTGACGAGGCCTTAAATTGAGTTCTCTGGCTAAATCCTGTTTTTGTTTCTGCATAATTAGAAAATTAATTGTAAACAGATTCAAAATTTAAATCGAATAATCTATATTTTTAAAATTTTAGTAATTTGTCTACGTATATATGAGTAAAATCATGTTACATACGATAAAAAAAATACAGTGATGAAGAACTTACAGGATTGAGAGTGCTGTGTATCTTGAAGCTTTCTTCCAAAAGTGCGGATTGTGCTTTAGTGAGCCTAAGTTTCTTCCTAGCGTTAGAGCCATCATCATCTTCATCACTAATAACTCTGGAGGAAACTCTTTCTACTTCTGTGGTTGTCTCTTCACTACCAACATCTCTCTCCCTTTTGACACTAGCATTTGAGTAGGAAGAGGCAGCACTATCTTGTCTGTACAAATCAGCAGATTGATGATCTTTGCTAATTTTAATCGGCTGTTGTTCGTACGTACGATCACCGGAAATCAGGCTTAAAGTTAGTGAAGGTTCAAGGCCAAGAGACGGACCTTTGCCTACTAGTGGTGTTGTTATTTTCTTTGATTTGTGATCGGCTGTTGAGGAAAAGCCTAATCCTAAAACTAGGCCAGTGTTGCAAATATCATCAAAACCCATCTATGTGTTGGAATAAAAGAAAACAAAAAGGAAGCAAGTGTGTGTGAACTTTTCTTGTTGTGAGGAAGAATGGTGGAAAAGAGAAAAGGGATGGTGGGATATATATGAAGAGAGTTGGGGACTTTAGCTAATTAGGCGTAGCTTTGGGAGAGTCTTTCAAGGGAAACTCAGGAATAAGACTTTTGTGTCTTAAGGTGAGGTGTTGTGGGGTGTGGTGAGTGGGTGGGTGGGTTGGTTGGTTGGGTGGCTATATATCTATCTATGATTAATAATCAAAGGATTGAATGAGTAGTGTGGAGAATTATTAAAAGTCTATTTCTTTCTCTTCATAGGTTGACCATTCGAACCCCACTACTCTCATCTCTCCATTATATATGTAATGACCAACAAACTAGGAAACTAACCACTTGGGACAGTGGAGAAATTGCTTTACTCTTAATTAAAAGTCTTGATTGAGGTCATGTATATAGAGAAAGTCCTATTAGAAGCATCACCCCCAAATAAGCCATACATGACATGTGTCAAAAGCCAATTGAGTTTTACTCTTCAGTAAAAATGATAAAACATTTCGCAAGCTTGAATCCCTATAAAAAGTCCGTCCCAACTGCACTGCATTTATATTTAATCGGAGTTCTAATATGGATTCCAAACATTTAGAGCGAAACAAAAAAAATCACTCGGGGTGCTCGATCTTACCCTTTTCTTTTTAGGGTAATGAAAACTTAAAAAAATCACTTATTTTAAAATAGAAAAAATAACATATAATACCTGCTTTTAAGGAGTGATTAATTGATATTTACATTGGGAAATTTCAAATTAAAATAATGTATTTTATGATTAAATAATTAAATTTTGAATTAAGAATAAAAAAATACTTATCAAGCTCTTTAACCAAGCAAAGATACGCTCTCTCATAAGTTTGAACTTTTGGAATATCAAAAGAATAAATGCATATAATGAGTACGTGGATTCACATGGAAATGGAGAATCATTCGTCTGCCCTTCGCCACCCATCACCATACCGAAATTTCTCTCTTCTTTAATTACCACAAGCATTTAATTTCTTTTTTCTCTTTCGTACTATTCTTCTCTTATTAATTAAATAAATATTTTTTCTTACTTTATTCACTATTTACTTCTATCATCGTATATATTTCTGATAAATAATACATGGATCATTCGTTTACCAACTTGTGTGACAGCAGCCATGATACACCCATCACTAATGTTTGTTAGGTATAGCCCCATAATCATCTAATAATTCACCTACGAACTATTATTTCTTGGAAAATTTCCAATATGTACCTCATATATAAAGCGGAACATATAAATACATAATATAAAGATATTTAATTTCCTTCGATGAGTTTTTATTATTTCCAACAAAATAACATAAAAGATTTTCGTACTTAGGTCCAATAATCAAATCAAGTGTAGAACGATAGATATGCAGGGTTTAATTAATCGACTAAAAATTTCTTAATTAGTTATTGAATTAATATAATTACTTGGTATATAGTGAATATTGTGCGTGGATTTTGCAGGTGGGTATAGTAAGGTTGGTTTGAAGATGAGATAGAGATGTGCACTATGTGAAGTGTAGAGCATGATGTCTTCATTGTTTGGTGTGTAATGAAAGAGGCAACTCAAAGAGGAAGAAAAGTAGGTACAAGACACTATAAGAGAGTTTCATAAGTGTAATAATGCTGCCAGAATATGATTCATCGACAAGAATCCGGATATTTGCTTAACTATAAAGTTTATGTACCCCTGTTGCTTTCGCGAAAAAAAATTAAAATCTATCATATTCTATGTTTACATCAAATGAATAAATATTTTTTTGTTACGTATTCATATTTAATTAAATGGTCGATCTGTTAAGGTTTATAATTTCATTAAATATTGGTTGCAAAGAAATATTTTTGAAGTTTCTATGTATGTAAATTGGGACCCCCATGCTAATTGAGCTGTATGGTTATAAACAGATAGTATAATAATGCATTGTCGGCTGAGGTGATGAGAAGTTAGGTCACCCATTAAACATGATTTGATCTAACTTTTATTATATTTCTTCTATTCTTGGTTCTGTTTAGATTATTCATTTAACAAGCTTTACTTTGGAATTATACCCTAATAAGGCATATATGGTCCCGCCTAACTAGTCATCACTCACCAACATGCTGTGGTGCATCCAGTTTTTTTCCACAAATCTACATGATCTTCAGTATATCTATTTCAACTTTTTAGCACTTCATTATTTATTCTTTTCAATTTTTGACAAATTAATACAAAAGAAAATAATTAATATGTGTTCGAGCTCTTTCCGCCATCTCTTTTGATGTCCTAATTTATACAACTAGTCAATTTTTTATGTAATCTTTGCATTTTACATGCAGCAGCCCAGCAGATAGGCATGCCATATTTTAAAACAAACCAATTAAATCAAAATTAATATATAATCAATCAAATGTCTATTTTCTATATGAATTGATGGAGCTTCTTGATTAAGTAAAATCATAAAAGTCAAGGAAAGACATCTGAAACTGGTCCTTATTGGGGAAATAACTAATGTGTTTAATTACTCAGAATAATACAACTCGTTTTGTTTTATAACCAACTATTTATCCTTATGTTATAACAATTGGGTAATTACTTTCTGTGTATTATTTTATGAACATTTAATTAACTCGGTACGAAGCTCAAACATGTTAATTTGACCTGTGCCTTATATCACATTATTATCATTATATATATTGTTGAAGATAATAATAATAAAAGGTATTTGTTGTAGAATTTTACCATGGTGAGTGGATTTGGACTTGTTGAATGTTGTGTGGAATAAAATCAATAATAGTACTATTTTTTCGGTTGACGCCAACTAACAAGATAATTAATCATTATATTTAATTAATTGGGAGATGCAAAGCATTTTATCAAGGCATATATTTCAAATCATATTCTAAGACAATGTCAACTTACCATTAACGTTGGAAAGGCTTTCTGTTTTGAGTTTTGAGTTTTGACTTGTGCTAGTACAATCATGAATGAACCACTTTGAACAAGAATACTAATCTTGTGCTTAATGGGTTTAGCATCGATCATATAATATGACTAATTTAATGAATGAAATTATATAAACAAAAGACACTTGATTAAAATGATTGTCATCCAAACCTTTTTGTCTCTAGTGGACGAATACCAAAAGCAGCTTGCTAAGCATTTGACTTTGATATGGTTGGAGTACTTCTAATATTTCTTTAATACATCCTTATGTGGTGCACTGAATGTTTTTTTTTTTAATCAGAGGTCTTGATTTTGAGTCACTGATATAAATAATTTTTTTAGTAGAGATTAACTTTTACTTTAAGGGATCGTTTGATAGAGTGTATTAGCAAAAATAATGTATGCATTAATTATATGTATTAGTAATTCCTTGTTTGGTGCATTTTTTCATGCTATGTATAACTAATGCTTGCACTATACATTCTATTGTGTATTGATGAGTGTATTACTAATACCGTGAATTTCTAGGTATTAGCAATGCAAAGGATTTAATACATGCATTAATATGATTAAAGACCCAATTATCCCAAAGACCCAATTATCCCTCAAAAGTACTTTTACATCTTTTCCACCATAATTGTGAAGGATACTTTTGTAAATAAATATTTTTATACAATGCACACTATTTTTAATACATCAAACCAAACAATGCATAACAAATAATTTATGCATAACTAATACAAGTATAACTAATACATGCATTACTAATATGTACACTCTATTGGATATTGTTTTTATACACTCTATCAAACGACCCCCTAAATGAGCTATATACCATGTAAATTCAAATTAGTTGACTTTTAATACATATATCAAATACCAATTATATAAAAAAAAAAATCTTGATATATATATGTGCTCTCCGTCCTAACTTGAACCTTATCGAAGATGATTGGGAATAATTGAGAACCCACCTAAACAATCAACTAGTGGATGGAAAATTTATAAATAAAAAGAAATAAAGAAGTTTCTATGAAGCTTGTAAAAGTATAGTACGTGTTGAACTATATTTTTTCTTTTTTGGTGAAAGGTGAGTTATTACAAAATTTTAGGCTAGAACGAACGATAAATAAAATTATGCAGGGAAATGATCTAGACTTAGATAATTAATACAACCCGTAAAATATTTTAGAAAACTAATTTCTTATTTGTTTTCCATGAAAGCAACTCTTAATATATTTTCAATTACCTAATTTCTTTTACTTTAAAAAGAATAAAAATTCAATCATATATTTTTTATTTCTAATCAAAAGGAGCACGTACAGGTATCTTAATTTTGAAACATTATTTCGATAGTTATTGTATCTTATTGACTTGAGAGAATAATGCATTCATTAAAAAGAGGATAAGAAACAAAAAATCAAACGTGATAATCCTTGAATAGTTAATCACGTGAATACCAACTTGTACATAATTTCAAAATCAGTATGAAAAGGAATACTTTACTTGTGCCTAAATCCATTGCATATTGAGGATGTTCATGTACACATATAGTTGAAAAACTTATTATTTTAAAAGAAGTTGGAATCTATTGTAAATAATAAATATATAAAAATTGGTCCCCTAAGAGAAAAAGAGAAAGAAATGATCACGTGCGAAGGAGGTGGGTAGAGACTAGAGACGATATAGGGACCCGCCAATGATTTGGTATTATGGGTATTCGATTCCGTGGGGGATTGAGGAGTTTTTAGCGTAGAACTTGCCAATCATGCTACCCTCAATTTTTGGGACCTCGATAACCTTTTTTCTATCTCTTTATTTTCAACTCTTCAATTTTACTCGTCTAGTATTTTAAATTTTAAATTTTTATTTTCTAAATCATTTTTCATTCAATACTATACATTAATTAATACGATAAAATATGTAAACAATCAAAATTTAAATTAGGCAACAGAAAAAGTAGTAAAATTTAATAAATAGCTTATTTGGTCATATTTTTAAAATTAAAAAAAAAATATATCAAAAATACTTGAAAAGAGTATTTTTAAAGAGTGGAA